TCACATTGCACTATTTAGATTGAACCTAGGGTCTCAAGCATATGAGCCAAGAGCTCTATCACTGAGTTATAATCACAGCCCACTCCCTCCACTACTTTTTTTTTTCCATTTGAAACTAAGTTGTCCAGGCTAGCCTCGGACTTGGCATTCTCCTGTTTCAGTCTCCATAGTAGCTAGAATTAAAGGCCTGTGCCACCAGGCCTGGCATGAAATTTGGTTTGCTCCATTATGTAAGTGAAGTTTGGACAAAATTTTGAGAGTTTCCTCCAAGTTCTTACTCAAGAAAATGTATTACCTTAAAAGGAGTCTTACTGGGGAGGCAGGAGAGATAGCTCAGCAGTTGAAAATGCTGGTTGCTCTTCCAGAAGACAAAGGTTCATTCCACAGGGCAGCTCATAATTGTCTGTACCTCTTGTTCCACGGTATCTGACACCCTCATACAGACATACATGCAAGCAAAACACCAATGTATATAAATTATAAACAAATAAACAAATAAATAAGTCTTATTGGAGGAGACTCTGTCTTAGCTCCTCTTTAGCCCCTGCCCCATGAAACAGTGTGAGCACACTCCTACCCTCCCTTCTCAGCAGCCCTTAGGCAAGTGAAGCAGGTGTGGGGTGACAGACAGCTTACCTGAGACATCTGGACTGCAGTGTCTCCCTTTGCCCCAAGAGGAGAGCAGAGGAGATGCTCATGGGAGAATAACAGACATTTTTCGAAGGGTTGCTTTCACAGAGCATCTTTAAAAGGTGGATGGCAAAGTTGCCATTTGCTTCAGACAGAGTATTCATGATGCAGAGTCTGGAAACAAAGGAGAAATGGTACTCAACACAACACTGAAGGTTCATTGACCTGACTCAGGGGAATCTGGGACTCTACTCTTGGTTCTCATTCAAAGCTCAAAAGTATTTAAAATTGGACTTTAAAATTCATTCTTGGTCACAGTTCTTCCAATCTTAGGATTATTATCTATGTGTGGTCATGACAGCAGACCAAACTAGTGTCTGTGTCATCTGCATAGGTAGAAGGTCAGATCATCAGGACTGCACACACAGGACACAGCTGAGAGAGGGGGCCTCTAGTCTCCTTCCATACACACGAGCTCCTCTCTCTGAAGATGGTGGCCTGGAGGATAAATAGGAGGAGGAGAGAAAAGAGGAAGGAAAGAAGAAAACAGACATGAGCATCCAGGTCCTCTAGCCTGGCTTCAGCAAAACTGCATTCTGGGTCTGCCTGTGAAGACTCCTCTGAGATGTCCAGGTGTGCATTAGACAGAGTCCCTGCATTTGCAGCTGCTACAGGACAGACATGGAGATGCTGAATGAGACCCAAAGACAGGCTGGTGTCACCAGCTCTGCTGTGGAGCAGGGAGCATCCACCTGCAGTGGCTGCTCAGGAGGCCTTGATCAGGCAATGGCACCAGGCTGTTTCTCTGTGGAGCATACCTCACTCCCAGTTGAATGGACAGTTTGACCTAGACTAAGTGACTGCTCCTAACATCTTAACCCAAATCTGAGTCCCTGCACATCCCATGGCTGTGCTCTGACTCTCATATGACCTTTGAACACTGGAAGTGTGTTTCAGAGTGCTTCAAGCACTTTAAAGACACACAGAATATGGCATTTAAAATGTTTTAATAACTTAGGCTTTTCTTAATATGAGACACATCTGCTCCTGGCAGCACCAATTACTTCAAGAAGGATGATGGAGTTTGCTTTCTTTGTGGCAAAAGCTAGCCATTTGGGCAAAAAACTGACCTTGCCTTGACTGCTGACAGTATACTGTATAAACTGGACTAGCAGGACACAAAGAAAAGTGACTGCCAAACTTTGCCAAGACAGGGTAGGGTAAGACAGTCCTTCAATATTTCCTGCTTCACAAAAAGTCCATCAGATGTTCTAGTCCTGTGGGCTGAAGATGGATTCCCCAACATTACAGAGGAACATTGGGTGACTGTCCAGACAGCCAACTGTTACTGTCATTTTGCTTAATTTTGGAAGTCACTTGCAATGCTCTTTCTGTTCGCTCAGATAATATTATATCCTTCTCAGGCCCTTGATAGGGTGAAGACTAGACAGTTGTAGTTCCCCTGAGTCATGGTAAACAGGTATTTTACATACAAAACTTTGCACTCTTCAGGAGAGGAGACCTAACAGAATAATCTCTCTAAATTTGCCAAGTACCTATAGACTGAACATTGAAAATGTATTTCTTATTTGATAATTGTTCTTGTTGTATGTAGTTTCTTTTTTATTAAGATTATTAACTTTCCTTTCTATTTGGACAATATTTGATAATAATTCTTATTGTAACTTTAATCCCAGCACTCAGGAGACAGAGCCAGTCAGATCTCTGTGAGTTCGAGGCTAGCCTGGTGTACAGAGCGAGGTCCAGGACAGGCACTAAACTACACAGGGAAACCTTGTCTTGAAAAAAAAAACCAAAAAAAATTCTTATTGTATATAGTTTTACTATGTTAGAGTTAGAACCTTTCCCTTTTTATTAGCCAAAAAGGGGGAAATGTTGCTGGATTTCTGTTTATGTCTCTGGTCTGTTGTTCAACTGAAAAGGGGTGGAGTTTCCATTCAGCTGGCCCTGGAATGGATCAGCAAGTTTTGGAGGACCCAGGAGAGAGAGTGTGACCTGAAGAGAAGAGATGATGTGGGCCCTTTTTGGGAAGAAGGTGGCAGCAGGTGTTAGGGGTGGCTTGTGATTTACCTCAGGTTTTTCAAAACAATCTTGTATATGAAACTCTACATTGAAGAGGAAGCCAGCTAGTGTGGTTCAGCATCTTCTCAAGTTGTCATAAAAAGAGACAGGACAACTTTCTAACTCCTGTTCAGTATTCAGTGTGCAGCATGCTTTCTTAACTACTGTTAAGACACCTGGGTCCGTTTCTTTACTGCTTCAAATGTGTCTACAGACAACATCCAAGTCACTGTCCTTTCATGGACTTGTGGGTGACATCACTAAGATATGTGCTGGAGTGAACCTTAGAAAATCCTGCGCACACAGATGACTAAAGATATTACCAGAGTGTGTCCTGGTTGAGCATTATCAATTTGGTAATCCCATGGCCCCTGTTACACTACTCCCTGGCTTCCCTGATAAGATTTCTTCCTGACAGCAAATTGATGGTATTTTATGTGTATTTTCCTGATTATTAACTTATTGACTTATTTTATCTGATTTACATGGTTATTTATTTATTGAACTGTGTATTTGTGTGCGTGCCAACTGTGGTGCTCACAGAGAGGTCAGAGGACTACTTGATGGACTCAGTTCTCTTCTTCCACCAGGTGCATTCTGGGAATCAAACTGCAGTTGTCAGTCAAGGCAGGAAAAATCTCCACCCACTGAGCCATCTCTGAGATCCCTGACTTACAGAAATTTTTATCTGTCTTTTATCATTTAGCATTGATTTCTGATATTTCCTCAGTCTTACGATGTTGTTCAGTATATGTAAATGAGTTACTTCTACACTACCCCACTAGTTGAAACATTGCTTATCCTTTTCATTGGTCGTCAACACTATCTTCAATTCAAAAGCAATGAACACAGACTGGAAAAACTGGATGTTTATATATAAAAGAATCACATTGGGCTCCTACCTCATGCCATACATAAAATATAATTCAAACTTGATCAGTGAAATAATATTAAAGCCACAAGCCGTGAAAGCCTTGGAGGAAAACATAGGGGCAGTTCTTTTTGACCTTGAGCATGGCAGTGGGTTTCTTAGCTGCGGCAAGGATAGACTGAATGATAAACATAATATTAAACTTGTGGAACTTCATTGACAATACTCAGTTTGTATGAATGAAAGGGCATTACAAGAAAGCAGAGTGAAAATCTACAAAACATATACAGACTAGGTAAATCTTCAGAAACAGAGAAGATTGGTGGTTACAAAGTGGGGAAAGAATGGAGAATCAGTGCCTGATGGTTATGCAATGTGTCTGAAAGGGGATTAAAGATGAAGACGGCACGCCCCTGACAGGCACTGAAGTTCTTATCCATATATTGTTGATTTTTGTTACAGGAATAATTGCAATAAAAAGTCCTTAAAGGGCAATAATAGGTATTATCCAAGTGTTAAGAAAACTTAGAGTACTCTTCTTTAAAAATGTCTTTACTTTAAATTTATGTGTATGGGAGTGAGTCTGATTGGGGATATGTGCATCTTGTGTGTATAGGAGCCCATTGAAGGTGAAAGAGGGCATAAGCTTCCTTGAAACTGGGGTTGCAGGAAGTTGTTAGCAGTCATGTGGGTTCTGGAAAGTAAATCTGAGTCCTCTGCAAGAGCAGCAAGCTGACTTAACATCTGAGCCTTCTGTCCAGCCCCATTATGGCACTCTTACATGGTGAAATCACTTCTAACTGCCTGTAAGTAGCACAGCCTGGACTATATGGCATAGAAAGATATAACCCTGGCCCCTGGTGACCATGGATTCTAGTTGGGGGATTATCCAAGATGCAGAAGGTTAACAGATAAAGCAACTTCTCTATGTGGTCCAATTAAAGTTCAAAGAGCACACATGGTTGATCAGAAAAATAAATTTATTGTGAAATAATCTTTAAGGACTTCATAGAATTTAACTATTACAGTTGGTGGTGGACAAACACAATAGTCTACAGAAGTATGACTTCTACAAGGATAACATGTGATAGTCCAAGACAGCTGTCATGACAGCTAGATAACTTGAAAGAGTAGTAAAGGCCAGCTGTTAGAGGACCACATTGCCAGTACCTGTCCCCAAGCCTAACACAGTGGTGGGCACATTCCTGGTGAGTGGTGGACAACAAAGAAGATAAATTTAAAATGTGCATTAAGGACCAATCACTAGTAAACTGTAGTAGCTGTCATCATCCACAAAAGCATTTACTATGATGTAAGCAGGTTAAGGCAAGTGATGGGGAGAGTCAAGGAGCCAGGAAAGGACAGCGTGTAGAGCTGGCATGGCTTGTCTGTGCAGTGAGGGGGCATTTACTTAGGGTCACCTTAGAGAACTTTGTAGGCCTCTCTTGTGGGAATTGTTTGCCTCCTTTGTTGTTTACACAACAGGAAACCCAACCACTCTGTGATCCTGTGACCTGGCAAAGGGCACTGATGAATGTCGGGATAGGGGAGATGATTGTGGGCATCCTAAGATCAGGCTGCCAGGAGGAAAGGGCCCTCATCTTGGAACATGGAGTCCCCCATATGCCCATCCTCACAGAGCTGTAGGAGTAACTGTTTCCCACACAGTAAATGTGTCTTTACGGAGACGAGAGCCTGCCACAGAACAGGAGGGTGTTGGTTTTGTTGTGCCTGATGAAGAAAAGGAAGGGGTGGTCTGCACAGAATGTTGAGACTTCACTTAAGCAGAAAGGTACATCTATGCCAGCTGAGGCTGCTGCAGCCTCGGTACCTTCTTCATTGACCTCCACAACACTCTTGTGAACAAACTTGGACAGACACAGGTCTCTCTCCGGAGACATTCCTGATAAGTCAGCTTTGCCCCCTTGGAAGACATCTACCATCCCCAAGCGCTGAAACACAGACTTCATGTCATAATTCTCTTGCAGTTTAAATTTTGGAAGGAAAACCTCAACATCAGTGCTCCTCATAAAGTCTGGTTTGGTCCAGGACATTAACTTCTCAAAAGTGAGATTGTTTTCCACCTGGCAAAGCAGAATTAGAGACTTTCAGATTCAAAGGTGAGATCTTAGGGAGAGGCTCATGGGTACAACCTGCTCTCAGTTCCACCCATCATCCTGCAGGGGGCACTGTCTATTCACATGGCCAGACGGTGTGAGGGTCTCACTGTCCTGCTAGCTTGTATGAGGCTTCCCTGATAGGCATGGAAGACAAGCAGCCCAGGGCTGGGAAGACCTGGCTGTCCTCTGCATCATTTCTGAGACATCTTTAATTCTTACAGGTGTTCATGTCCAGGAGATTATGGAATAGGTTATGTTTGCTTTTGTTTTCTTAATCTAGACTTAGCTTTGAAGGTAGTACATCATTACTACTAAAAAATGTGAAAAATTGGAAACATAGAACTTATTGTGGGCCACAACAGAATGGATGTTTATCTAGGGATATTCTTTCTGTTTTCTGAGCTGTTGTGGCTTAAGTATAAAATTACACTGAAAGCCTCACTTCTGAAACCTTGTTTTGGAGGCAGCTAAGATTTTCGAAATGAGGGACTCCGGCTTAATAAAGGAAGTAATTACTGGAGGTGTACCTATGAAGGTCATCCTTGGTCCTTTGTCCTTTGTCCTTTCTCTGCTTCCTGTTTACTAAGAGGTCTGCAGTCTCTGCCACAAGCATCTATCACTATCAAACCCGTGGATGGGCAAGGTAACTTGAAATGAGCCCTCTGAATCTGTGATCCAACATAAATCCTTCCTCCCATAGACTGTTGATGTCAAGCATTTTGTCAATGATGAAAAACTAACACACTAGAAAAACAATGCCACAGTCAGGGAGCTGGATGGGATGAGCCAGGGGAGCTGCTGTGCTCACAAAGACGCCTTTGGTCATGCTTATTCCATTGCCCTCCATTCAGAGGATGGCTAACACACTTTGGGGTGTCCTGCTGCAAGGGAGCCCTAGATGTGCCATTATGATGTGCCTGACTCTGCCCTCCCCAACTGCATCCCTCCTCTTCTTCTTTCTTGGGTAAAAGTGCAATATTTTTTCTGTCATTTTAAGTTCTCAGAAATTAAACAAAATACTAACAAAGATCATGCTATGGGGCTGTGTTTATGGAGGGGACTATTTTCCAACCACTGTGCTAAGTTTCTTGTTGGGTTGTCCTCACTTCATCCTATCAGGTCTGTATCTCCCATTCTAGTGATGAAGTTGTGTCATATGGCAAGATCTCACAATCCACAGTGGCAGTCTTGGACACAGCTTTGATCCTCAAACACAGGGACTGCACAGAGCTGGAAGCTGAGCGTGTGAGAACTACACACTCATATGGCAGGTGCCAAGTTGAAAACATTGAGCTCTGCTCTAATGAGAAAGGACACCAGGGACACTGGATTCTTCTCATAGACATCTAGAGTGGTGACTGCTACAGACTTTCCCGCCTCACCTGGCTGAGGTCCACACCATCATCTGGGAGCAGGACCACCAAGCTCAGCTCCGTGCCCTCATAGGGCATCACCAGCACCTGTGCCTGAACTTCTTTCATGTAGGCGAGGTTAAAAGTGTCTTCCTGACACATCATCTGTACTGGTCTTTGCTCTCTCTGAACAGACAAATCAAGGACATAAAAGACATTATTGACAGAGTTAAGAAGGTTTCCAAATGAGCTGCAGTTAATACCAATTAATACAATGCAAACACTACTCATGTTTCAGTGACCACTTAGTCAATGTCTGCCAGCCTCTTCCTGCTTTCATTAAAAATATGTGTTGTATGCAGATATGGGACTGTTGTAGAAAGGGTTCTATAGTTGTCATGAAACACCATGACCAAAGGCAATATGGGGAGGATGGGTTTATTTCATCTTACAACTCTCAGGTCATATTCCATCACTGAGTGGAGTCAGAGCAAATTTTGATGTTTAATGCATCATTTTAATTAAAATATTCTCATGTGTTCGACTTCCATATTTTAAAAAATACCCCTGGGCTATCAGAACCAAAACAATTCATTAAATCAAAGAAAGATTCATGAGATTCTGTCCAGGTGGTCCCCCAACTTTTAAAGGGTTGATAAAAATTTTCTGTCATCAGACTATAATTTCATCACAAAGATACATGGAGATCTTTCCAGAGGGTCCCCAATTTGTAGCCACTTAACTGAAATTTTCCTTCTCCCTAATGGGCTATCAGGATGGAGCTCTGCTCTAAGCCAATGAGTACCTGTGCTCTGGAGCTCTCTGCTCATTGGTGGGTTAGAAGGTTGTGACCCATCGTGAACCTCTGAGCATGTGTGCTCCTGTTTCCAGGTTGTTTTCTGAGAGAATATAACTGTCTGTAGTCCCATTCACATGACTATGACAGTAATCCAGTCATTTGATGAAAATTTATTCTGTTACTTATATGCTGTTTCCTTAAACATAATTGTTGAGCATATTAAATGATAAAAATCCTGTTTCTGATGTGTTAGTCATTCCCTCTGGACAGATCTCCATGTATCTTTGTGATGTTTTACAGTCTCATGACCTAATACAAAGCAAAAAATTTTTGTTGACACTTTACAAGTGAGGGAGCCAATAAAAGAACTCATTCATTTACTAATTACAAATTGCCCATTAAAAGAACTCATTCATTTATAATATTTTTTAAAGTTTTGCTAGTTAAAAATAAAAGAATGGGGATTTTAACATTCATAAGACTCCAAAGTGAATTAAGTTATATTTTATATGCTTTGGGCAGGCTATCCTAATATCTACTTTAATTCAAATTATGCTCCAATTAAGACTGATATCTTAATCACTCTGTTTCAGTATTAGAAATGTATAAATAGTGCTTAATTATGACAAATTGTCCAATAATTTCAAATGCTTTTTAATTAAATGTTACACCACTAAATAAATGTTTGCATATGCCCTTCCACTCTGCCTCATGCTCTGTCCAGACAATATACTACTTTAGCAGCTCAATTTTGACATTCTGGAACTTATAGGAAAATTTTCTAAAATGATGTAGAAGCAATGGTCACATGAGAAATTATCAAAAGCAGTCATAGCCACCAACAGAATGCAAAATAATACAGGCAGTAAATACTCTATATTCCTATCATTTTTTTATGGAGTTTAACCATCATTCAAAATAAATGTTTCAAATGGTTTTCTGTGCTTTCCTGTTCTCTCTCTTTCTGGGCTGAGGATCAAGCCTAGCACCCACACAGGACATGGGATCTCTACCACTGAGCCCCAGAGCTACACATTCATGACTACACGTTTCCATGCAATCTCTTCATCACACTGGCATGAACTTTTGAATACTGGTCTTTACCTTGTTAATTTTAAAGGGCATTTCCTTTGTACTATCTTTGTCAAATGGTTGATGCCATTTTCCTTTGAAATATAAGGCATTGACAAGAACCAGCCTAGTCGCTTCATCAACTGAGTCATTCGACAGCAACTCTGGAATTTTCCCTTTTGACAAAGCAGAGACTTCATTCAGGTTCATGCTATACAAATGTAAGTAATTAACTGATATGACAGCTGGACAAATTGCTGAATGTGCATAAACATATGAACAAATAAATCAAAACAACATACCAACACCCATTTTGACTCAAGGTCATAGACACTGGAGGAACACGGCCAAGGTGAGGATGGTGAAAGACATTCTCTCTTGAGAAAAGTAGATTTCAGAAAAGCAGAAAAAAAGAACATGACTCCAGAATGAAAAACAAAGAAGCCGGAAATGTGGAAGGGGTCACAGGGCACCAGGGTTTCCCCCATGTGCTACTGATGGTTGCCATCTTGACAGGGTCTGGATCAAGCCAGAGAACTATCTCTGGGCAGGTCTGTGAGGACATTTCCCAGAAAGAGTAACTAATGGAGACGACGCTCTCCCAAGGGAGCAACAGCTTCCTGTGCTACCCTAATATAAAGACCTAGAGAGAAGCAGCACTGCTTTGGTCTGCCTGCTTTAGTCCCTGCTGGTGAGTGCATCTACACTGTTCACACCACTGTACCTTCCATTTTCAGCTGACACTGAAGTGCACGTTTGCTAAGACTTTCATGTGTGCTAAGACTAGTGGCTCTCTGGAATACTCTAGACCTTCCATGCCAGATTGAGACTGCTGAAGTCTCCAGCTTCATAGACTGGGCAGCTACCAGATTCTTAGCCTCTCCCCATGTAGATGGCCACTATTGGACTACTTAGCCTATATTGTGTGTGCCTATCTATTAAATCACCTCTGTAATATGCATTCATTGTGTTGTTCTAGGGAACACTGACTAATACATGACTGTTTAATACAGCATCTCATCTAGCATTCCACGTTCAGAAACTCAAAGCAGGAAGTAGCTTGTGGAGGAAATATTGTTATTACATACTTTGCAGTGCTATCCATCCCTGGAAGAGATAATGCAGGTGAAAGGACAGAATCCTTTCTTCTGTATTAATGAGTTTCCTCAATGGAGAAGAAAATCCTTGCTAACTTACAAGATCAAGAGTACACAAGAGGTGTAGACTCCAACAGGAATTGGCAAATGATTGATGAGTCTTTAAGAAGAGGCTCTCACTCTATACTATCTCCGTTAGGAAAAATAAAAATGTACCTAGTGGTAGAGAGGCATCTGAGGGGTTCAAATATTAGAAAATGATTTCAATGATCTCAAAGACCAATACTGGAACATGCCATCTCTGAAATAAAAATAACTAAAGTTCAACCCCAAATGGGAGGCTCCTTAGGTTAATGTAAGTGAATGTCCATGACAGAGTGTCTTCAGTGGAAATCATGTCTAGTTTCACCAAATACAAGTAAGGGATCCGAGGCAGGAACTGTGGAAGCAGAAACAGAAGTCCTCTTCAGAGGTAAAGGCGGTACAGGCTCAGGCAACACAGACTGTAGGAAGATCCAGCCCAGGGCAAGATTATGAGGAACTTCCAAACATGCATCTCCATCTTAGAGATGGTGGAGTCACCTGACCTGCCATCACTGCAGACCATCCATGTCTTCTAATGTAAACTGTTAGACTGGAAATCAGGACATTTGTATCAGCCCCTCTGTCCTAGAGAAATACACAAACAACTCTGTTTTTGTTTTTTGGTTTTTCGAGACAGGGTTTCTCTGTGTAGCTTTGCGCCTTTCCTGGAACTCACTTGGTAGTCCAGGCTGGCCTCGAACTCACAGAGATCCGCCTGGCTCTGCCTCCCGAGTGCTGGGATTAAAGGCGTGCGCCACCACCGCCCGGCACAACTCTGTTTTTAAAGTCTTAAGTGTCTCAGTAAAATCACCATGAATTCACTGAGGTCTAAATTACACCATGTGACCTAGCTGGTCTGCATCCCTTTGACTCTCTGAAATTGTGGTGGGATTAGTCAGTGGGGGGAGAAGGGAAGTTAAGAGAAAGGAGGGAGGGAAGAGCAGAGAGGGGTGGATGGAAAGGACAAGAATGTGGGGTGTGAAACATCTTGAAATCCTGACCTTCAGTCTGTTTGGAGACCCATGTGTTTATGTGTTTCCGGGACTCCTCTGCTGCTTTGACAAAGGACAGCTGCTCCAGCTCTGAGTGATAGAACTGAAGACAGGACTCCTTAAAGGTCTGGAGAGAAATGTGTTCAGTGAGGTAACATTGCAAAATATAGTGTCAGCAAGCTTCCCAAACTTCTGATACTGTGGCATTAAAAAACAAAACTAAGACAAATGTAAATGTCACTTTTAGCAACAAATATCTTCATGTACTAGGCCTTTATAAGGTGGAATGACCAGACTTGAATAAATAAAAATTACAAGTAGTCATATTTTAAATGTTTCAAGATATCATTATATAATTATGATCTTTGGGGAAGGTTATGGAATTGAGTCTCTCTCTATAGCCAACCCTGGACTAGAACTCATGACCTTCCTGTCTCAGCCTTCTAAATGTAGATATTATAGATATGTATCATCACACTGGCTAGAACTTGATCCTCAATTTTCTCACATTTTCTAGGGTCCTTCCTCTGTGATCTATAGCAACAAGTACTTGAATACAATTGATATCATTCTACTGATACCACTTACTGGGAGGAATTCACAAGTGTTCTCTGCAAAGAGCCTGTTGGCCGTTCTAAGTGCGTACTTTCTATTGGGCTTGTTCAGTATATGGAGAAGTCCCTGGAAGCCCTCTTGAATGTCTTTCTCTCTGTTTAAACCAAGTGCCTGTAAAGGAAAAGAATGAATCTTTATGAACTCAGTGATGAGATGTCTTGATTTTAAAACAATTTTCAAGCTAAAGAGATGGCTCAGGAAGTAAATTACATGAGAATCTGATGCAAGGCAGTTTGGGATCGAAACAAATAAAATGAGGAATTAATCTTCCTTGCCAATGAATACTTACAAAGTCTATTGCTCTAAAAAATGAGGCAGATCTCAGCAACCTATGTTTCCAATAATTTCAGTAACTCTTTTTCTCATTACAGTATTGGAACTGAAGCTAGGTCCTCAGTCATGCTAGACAAGAGCTCTAAGTTATAAGCCCAACACCCTTCCTCTATAATTAAAAAAGGAATAAAACAATAACACAAAGACCTTTACATGTGAAACTGACTTTCCCAGGCTAGCCTTGAACTTGAGATCCTCCTGTCTCAGTGCCCTTAGCAGCTGCTATTAAAGGTCCATTCCACCAAGCCTAGCATGAGATTATTTAGCACCATTTGCTAAGTGAAGTCTGGACAAAATTTTAAGGGTTCCCTCCAAATTTTACTCAGAAAATGGTTTGCCCCTATAAGAAGTCATACTTGAGGAGACTATGGTTCCCTTCCTCTTTAGCCCTTGCCCCATGAAACAGTGTGAGCACATTCCTACCCTCCCTTCTCAGCAGCCCTTAGGCAAGTGAAGCAGGTGAGGGGTGACAGACAGCTTACCTGAGACATCTGGACTGCAGTGTCTCCCTTTGCCCCCAAGAGGACCATAGCTAGAGCAGAGGAGATGCTCACGGGAGAATAACAGACATTTTCCGAAGGGTTGCTTTCACAGAGCATCTTTAAAAGGTGGATGGCAAAGGTGCCATTTGCTTCAGACAGAGTATTCATGATGCAGAGTCTGGAGACAAAGGAGAAATGGTACTCAACACAGCACTGAAGGTTCATTGACCTGACTCAGGGGAATCTGGGACTCTACTCTTGGTTCTCATTCAAAGCTCAAAAGTACTTAAAATTGGACTTTAAAATTCATTCTTGGTCACAGTCCTTTCAATCTTAGGATTATTATCTATGTGTGGTCATGGCAGCAGACCAAACTAGCGTCTGTATCATCTGCAAAGGTAGAGGTCAGATCATCAGGACTGCACACACAGGACACAGCTGAGAGAGGGGCCCGCTAGTCTCCTTCCATACACACCACCTCCTCTCTCTGAAGATGGTGGCCTGGAGGATAAATAGGAGGAGGAGAGAAAAGAGGAAGGGAAGACGAAAACAGACATGAGCATCCAGGTCCTCTAGCCTGGCTTCAGCAAAGCTGCATTCTGGGTCTGCCTGTGAAGACCCCTCTGAGATGTCCAGGTATGCATTAGACAGAGTCCCTGTATTTGCAGCTGCTACAGGACAGACATGGAGATGCTGAATGAGACCCAAAGACAGGCTGGTGTCACCAGCTCTGCTGTGGAGCAGGGAGCATCCACCTGCAGTGGCTGCTCAGAAGGCCTTGATCAAGCAATGGCACCAGGCTGTTTCTCTGTGGAGCATACCTCACTCCCAGATGAATGGACAGCTTGACCTAGACTAAGTGACTGCTCCTAACATCTTAACCCAAATCTGAGTCCCTACACATCCCATGGCTGTGCTCTGACTCTCATATGACCTTTGAACACTGGAAGTGTGTTCCCGGGTGCTTTCTACAGTGCTTTTTTAAATGCCGATCAAATAGCCTAGGGAGTCTCAGATCATCATAACCCATCCTTCTCTCTCCCCAGAGAGATGGGCACATAATCCTGGAAGTGTGTAACCCATACTTCTCTCTCCCCAGAGAGATGGGCACATAATCCTGGAAGTGTGCATAGATCCTGTGACTTCTCCTCTTATGCCACACGGGGTTCTTGAGGAAAGCTGGGGCAGCTTTATTTAAATGACTGACCTTCTGGTTGCTCTTCTCATCTGACCCAGCTCCCACACCTACCTTATAGTTCATCCTCATGTCCCTTTAAAATGGCTTCTGAATCCTTGAAGTGCTGTTTATTCCACCGAGAAGGTCATCTACCCCCTCTCTGTCACTGAGTCCAAACTACTCACCCTTCCCTCCTTCACTGGGACAGGACCACCTAAGGACCTCATCTCTTTACCACTTCTGAGTGTAATTCTTTCTCTTACAGTTCGTTGTCTTCACCACAGTTAGTGCTCTCTGAATGAAAGGGAGATGTCTGGCCCACCGATTCTAATCATCTGTAAGCATGCTCAGGATAAACAGTGGTTTGGGGCCATGTCCTGTCAATATGGAGTCATGCGTTTCTATGGCTGGAATGAAGAGTGCTCAGATTGGAGTGGAGCCATCTGATCTTTACAGGGCACAGAGGTAAGAGAGACATGAACTCACAGATACTGGAGGACATAGTCAAATGGACTAGATGGTAGGACCTGAGAGGAAGCAGGACAGAGGACAGTGGAGAAGGCCCCTGAGACCCCGCAGCACATATGCCTGACAGAGAAGGGTCAATATAACTTCAGGACCCCACCCCTAAGGCCAGCCTCACTGCCAATGGCCTTCTGGTTTTTAGAGAAGTCACCTCTGTGGATGCCCACCAGACACCACCTGCCTTCTGTCACTTTTACTAACACTCTGGCCCTGGGTTCCTTCCCCTGGACTTAGGCTGGACCTTCTAATCCTAGACCCTGCCAGTCCCACAGCCTTGGACTGAGCCAGTAGCCCTCACCTGCCAACTTGCAGCCTCCCAGTGCAGTGTTCAAGGCTTGATGCTCCTGGAGTGCAGGAAGGCCCTTTATTCACTGCAGGAGGCTGACATCATGCTCAGAGCCCCAGGCCAGAGGAAGAGGGACTGGCCTCACCTCTTCCTGCTCTGTCCTCAGCAGGGTGGGGATAGCCAAGGGTTAGTGAACACCTAGGCCCTAGAGAAAGGAAAACTAGTGGGATCTTGAGTCTTTGGTTGTCAGTCACCAAGGGAGACGGATTCCCAGGATGCCAAGAACACATGAGAGTTGTTCCTGATCTCAAGTCTCCATCCATAGAATGGATTCAGCTGTGAAGGGGTTGACTCCAGGAGTCCTGTTAGCTCCACACTAGTATAGACCCACATACAGAATCCTGGTGCTAAGTTCTAGAAGGGACTTTTCCAACTGCAGACTGCTCCATGTGAACACTTCTCCTTACAAAGTAACAGAAATAGACACTGAGGCAAATTAGTACAGGAAATCATGTCCTCCATTCCTGGACATGGATCACTGTATTTGCATGCCCTGAAGAGACTTCCTTAAATTTGGTGTCTTAAGTGTCTCAGCTTCTCTAATTTTTATAATTAAAATAATGTATTTTATGTGTGTGAGTGTTTTACCTGCATGCATGTCTGTGCATCAATTGCATGCCTGGTGCCCACAGAGGTCAGAAGACTGATCTCCTGGACTAGAGTGCTGCTTACATCCTTGGGATGTCTGCACCTGACCATGCTGATGTTAGCTTAGGAACTATGTCCCAAGACAGACACGTTTATATCAGAAACGTTTGGTCTCAAGGAACTGATTTGTCCTTTAAAGCATACATTCAGTGTCTTTTAGTTTACTTACAGAGGTATGTGACAGTCATCACCATCCAATTCTAGATCCTTTTGGTAACTGACAAAAAGAAATGAACTGCCGATTATCAGTGTCTATTTCCCACACCCACCCTTCTTTCCTGGAAAACACTAATCTTTTTTCTGCACGTTTTTCCCAGTTATGAGCATTTCTTATGAAGGAAATATGTGGTCTTGTGTGTGGTCTTCTTTTCTAACCTGGTGTTTTCTATACTCTTGCTTATTGGTTCAAGGTGTCAGCAACTTGGGAGTGAGCCGCAGACATGCTACATTGTACCACCTAGAGTGGGTTGAGTTCTTTTCAGAAACCTCGACTCAGGTGAAGGCACAATTTTTGACTCTGCCACAGAAAGGAATTTCAGGATGAGCCAGTATGAAGTAGAGTTGGATTTATTAAGAAGCAAACACATATGCATTTAAACACAATAATAATATACAGAGGGGGGGCCAGTAGGCAAAGAAAGGATGAGACACACCTAAGCATACAGGTGTCTCCAGGGAGAGCATGGCTTCAGTGTTTTGGCGGTACCTACAATGTGGCTTTGGTGACTCTCCAAAGTTAGATCATTAAAAGTTGCTAAGAAACCTTCCTTTCCCCTTTTTACTTAATAGAGGTCCAATATTTAATTGGTGTAGTATTTAAGGACAAGCTTTTAAAACATCAACAATTTAAGCTATATGAGACCAAGATACATAAACAGAACTTCAACATAGTAAGATGCCTTCTGGAACAGGACCATTAGAGACTTCACAGACACACAAAAAGCTCACACTGTCTACAGGATCACACATGTAGTTCTCCCCAAGGTCAAGGTTTCATTTGGCTGAGCCTGAGAGCTCACTCAATTTCACACTACCTGTGGCACACTCAATCTAAAAAGCTTTCTTCTCCATGTGCTCTACCTTCCTGGCTTATGGACGGCAGCTTTTCACCAATCTCTTCCTCTCAGAAGCTTCCTGGTGCCATTGCCTTCCCCAGGGTGCTCACTTTCTGCTGCTTGGCTCCATGTTTCCAAGGAGGCTGCTCACACCCCTTGTCTTCTGACCCTGACCCAGCAGGGAGTGACAGCAGCTGAAGGGACAGAGGCTTCTGGCTTTCTGTCTCATCTTGCTTGAGGGAAGGTTGGCTTGCTTACGTGCAGCATCTGTGTCCTCAGTCACCCTGTGTTCTCCACCCCGGAGGGGATTTCAACCGTCCCTTCCTTTAGCTTCTCTAGCTCCTCTACTTTGACCAACAACTTCTGACCATTTCCTGTCTTTTCTTATTTTTGGAGTGTGTGTGTGTGGGGGGGGTCTCCCCACAGTACTGTAGTGAATCCTGTTCTTCTTCTAAAGGACAGTCAAAAGTGACTACATACATCAAAAATCCACCAAGGAAGAAATAAATGCATCAAGTTCCTGTCTGAACTTTTCAACTCTCCATTAAGTGAGCAGCCATATCAGCAGAAGGTATGCATCAGGTTCATAGAAAGACTTCCTTTTCTTTCTCTACTTCTCTTTTTTCTCTTCTACTTTCTGTTGATTGTCTGTGGATCCTACACCACCCATCCACCTGTCATCCTGTATCTATCCTCTGGCCCTGCAACCTCTGCCCCCCAAAACAAAACAAAACAAAATCCAAAATGAAAGAAAGAAAAATCTTGTCATGGAAGCTGCAGTGTATCAGAGTAAGCCACACAGCTTAAACTTTAGTCCATATATCTTTACTTGCAAGTGTTCATTGTAATGAGTCTTTGGTCTGGTTCGAAGCCGCTGGTTCCTGCAACACTATCAGTACTGGACCCTCATGAGGACTCTTCTTGGATATTCTATTGTTGCCCTGTGTCATGGAGATCCTGCAGCTTTGGCTCTACAGGATCAGCCCCTTCATGGGCTCCAGCAGATCATAGATGGGTTGGATGTCCTAATTCTCGGACGGGGTGGTAGTTGGGTTGGTCAGTCCCCCTCGTTTCCCTCATCCTCACCACCAGAGTGGTCGCGTCCGCCTCGACCAGCAAGGAAGATGCAACCTCAGGCTCTTCTCCAAGCAGTTTATTCAGGAACCTTGAACAATCTTCTGACCCCGGGGAAAGCCATCTTCTCACTCTCACTCTCACTCTGATCTCCTTCCTCTCCTCCGATCTTTCTCCTGGGGAAAGCCAGCCCACACCCTTTATAGCCACTGGGCAATCAACCCCGTAGTGCCACGTGGACAATGCCGATAGGGTCAGACATATGCAAGCAAGCCAGATTAGGTCCAGGTGTGCAGAAGCAAGCCAGATCCTAGCCTTAGCCAAATAAGGAGCACCTGCCATC